CAGAAAAAGAGGAGGGTGGGGGGGGGGGGGTGATCAGTTGGAGGGCAAAGGTTTTAGGGAACTGAAGATATAAACGGCTGCTATTTATCATAGAAAGATCCAGAGCTGCCATTCTGAGAACATCTTCAGCCCAAAACACTTAAATAGTAAATAGATTTCTGAATTTGATCTTTAAACTTCTCCTCTTTAGAAGTGCATAGAATCACTTCAAAACGGAGTGCTGAATCCTGTGTACACATGATAGATTTTCATCTCGCCTTTTGGCAAACAACTCCTTTTTTGCCTCTCTTTTTAGTGCTCAGAATAAAATTGTGATGTGCAGACTATGATCAGCACTTGAGAACGGTCAACACCACTTACATTTTTACATCCTGCAGTGGCTATGTATGCATTGTACACAAACTATATTAAAAAGAACAACTCCACCCAAAAATGTGATCTACTACACTTTTACTTTCTTCCTTGCAACAAAATAGCTTTTCTTGGTCAGTTTTAGCTGTGCAATTACAATGAACGAGAACTTTCAAAGCTCAAGTACACACACACAATATTACAAGTTTTCTGCAAAAGCACGATAACTTCACAAATCAGACATTGCTACATCTCTCATAAACACTCAAAGGAAGGATCTTCAGTTCAGTTTAGAATATTTAAAAGTGCATTCAGCAGTTTGCTGCTAATTTAAAGTTTTACACATTAGGAAATAAGTAGATGAAGAATCATCTGAATGGCGTAAACTCACATGAGTACTAATAATAGTTTTCTATAAAAAGTGTTTTAATTATGTATTGTGCGAGTCACCCACAGTGTTTCACTAAAGAGAATCCTCATGCTCATTGGCTGCTGCTTCTGTAGATACACTAGTAGACCAGAATAGTATTGTTTGGTGATGCAAAGAGTGACAATTAAACAATGGAAAACACTTATTTTCACACTTATTACTGGAGAATCAGGCCTGAAGGCCTGAATATGGATGCCAAGGTTGTTTTATATATTTATTTATTTATAAATATTTAAAACAGAGCCCCGGAGTGGTCATGCTTCACGCGGGGGTTAACGGCACCAAGCTGCGGCAGACGGAGACACTGAAGAGGGACTTCAGGAGCCTGATCGAGACGGTGCGCAGCA